AGAAGCTCCATTTACCCTCATGGTCACGTGGTGGTACCGCTGAATCCCCGTAGGTCTGAACCGACATACGATGTCTGATTGCTCTCGTCGAGCTGGAGGGTGGTGAAGAGGTGGGTGTACATGATGTCCACCGAGCTTCCTTGGTCGAAGAGAATGCGGCAGACGTTAAAGTTAGTCATCTGAGCCCTGATCAGAAAGGAAATGCTGGAGTTAGGGGCACCTCCTGGAAGCTCCTCGAGGTAGAAGGTGATCGGGTTCGAGTTCCCCTTAAACTTCTCGAGGGTGGCGTTCTGCTTCGAACTCTTATCGATCAGCTCCTCAAATTTCCTCTTGACCGAGCCTACTAAGAGCTTGCTGGAACCACCGCCGAATATGACCATCGTGGCTGGGAAGTTCTCCCACGGGCTGCGAGCGGATAACGTTGTGTCGGCCTCGAAGGGGAGGCAAAAGTCTTCTGGTCGGGAGATGTATAAGGCGACTTGCATCCCGGTCTCTTCGGATAGAGGTGGCATCTCTTCGACCCTTTTTGCCTCGCGAGTTTCATGTCGAAGGGCCTCGTTTCTTCTGGTGCATTGCTTCAGGTGCCCCTCCGTGATTAGGATTTTGATTGCATCCTTGAGGTGAACATAATCTTGTGTGACATGTCCATGGCTCCGGTGGAACCGACAATACTTGAACTTATCGACGTTGGGCTTAGGGGGCGTTGGCTTTGGGAAACAGACACCACCTCATTGGAACTCCGAGTTTATGCACTCATCCAGAATGCACTTGCGAGGAGCTATGAGTAGCGTGTACTCAGTGAATCGTCCAGCTGGTCCCCTCTGTTCTCGGGAGTCTCGGTGCCTATCTTCCCTCCTTCTCTCTATCTCATCGGGGTGCGGCGGAGTCTTCATGCCTGAAATTTATGGCGCTCTCTTGGTTCCTCGAATCGCGGGCGCAGTGGGCGGTCTCTTTTTCCTCATGCTGGATGTATGATTGGGCCTTGTGAAGGAGGGTATTCAACGTGTTAGGCATTTCGATCCTGACGGCCTTGGCAAACTCAGTGTGAGGTCGTAGTCCTTGTTTGATCAAATATCTCTTCATGTCATCCGAGGTGGCTACTTGTACAACTTCTTGGGTGAATCTCTCTATGTAGTCTTTGAGAGATTCTTCCTTCCCTGGATGATGGATTCCAGGGATGCTTCCGTCTTTGGGTGTCCCCGGGAAGCGGTGAAGTGCCCAGAGAACTGCCTCTTCAACTCTCTCCAGAAGGTAATGGATTCGGGATCGAGGCTTTTATACCATGTCATCGCTCTTTTCCTCAAGGTCGTGGGAAAGAGCCTGAACTTGATGGCTCCCTGGACGTTCCTGTAGTCGAGCATCGCATTGATGCTTTCAATGTGGTCGTCCGGATCGGTGGTACCATCATAGGTGGCTAGGATCAGGGGCTTCTCAATCCCGACGAGGAGAGGAGTCTCCTTGATTTCCCTGAATAGCGGAGTGCAGGGGTCGTCCTCGTCGCTTCTGACAGGTGATTGTGATGGGGACGGGTCGTACTGAGGGCTCATGCGGCGTGGAGGGCTTCTCGGGCGGCACTTCGGCTTTCCAGCATGCCCGTCAGCTCTGTTTCTCTTGGGAGCTGGGGAACGACGCTTCTTCCAGGGAGGAGAATGGTCACGCTTTTGGGTGGCCACAGGTTGTGGTTGTTCCAGTCGCGGATGATGCTTGACTTGTCGCGGAGAGGGACTCCGAGACACATCATGTTGCGGCATCCGCGTGGGAGGTGAAGGACGAGTTTCTCGTCATCGCGGGGACAAGCTGTGAGAAATTGGGCGACGATGTCTCTGTGGGGGAGAGCGTGATTGTCAGTCTTTCTCCAACATTCCGATCCGCTCGTTTTGTTGGAAAATTATCAGGTTTGTCTGAATGATTGCCGCGAATAGAGCCACCATGGTCGGGTCGACGTTGGGCGACATATGAATTGGTTGGAAGACAACTGGGTTGTCAAAGCGTCGGGTGACGTTGTAGGCCGCATCGTCGGGGGAGGGTGAGGCGGTGTGCCCGTCCCTGGTGTCGCCTTCCTCGACGTGGACGGTCACGTTAGGATCGTGATCGTCGCCATTGGTGAATAAGATGAAGGCGGTTTCATGCATGTTGTTGTCATTGCGTGAGCTGACCATGATTAACGGAGTCTGAGGTATGCTTTGGTTCTTGGATTTCTTTTAGAAAGAAGAACGGGGAAGCAAGATTCGTACAGACGGCGCCATTGATCTTACCAGATTAGAAAAGGATCAACAGTTAGCAACACGTCGTGAGCTTCTTAATTTACCGGTGGTGGAGAAGAGGAGGGGGTGTGCCTGCAAGGTACTCTGATGCCAAAGTAAGAGACGAAGTAGAAAAAGCAAGTACAGAGAAAACATGTAGAGAATTGAATACCTGACCCTCTAGTGAATGAGGGTATTTATAATGTGTCCCCAGCACTGGGCCAACAGTTACTTTGCACTGGGTCGCTTGCAAGGCCCAATACGAGTAACTGCTAAGGCTTACATGGCGTAGGAAAGACCGGCACGTGGTCTTCGTCCTGGGCCAACTGCTCTGTGATCTTTAGTGGATGGGTAGTTGCATGATGACGTGTCCTCGTGTGGGGGCACATGGGGACTGTGGGGGAGACGTGTGAGAGCTCCATGTGGGTGTTAGAGGATTGGGCCTTCATTAGACCCTCCCTAACGGGGAGCTGGGTTGGGTTGTGCCCAACAGTGGGCCAGCCTTTGCCCCAGTCCGGAACATATATATTGCACCTAGGGGGGTTGAGTTAGGTGTTTTGAGACTTTATGAAAATGTTGATGAATTTTTGTAAGCCTTGAAAAGTGTTACTTGTTTTACTTTTACTAGTTTATGTATAATGCTTACTTTTCTTGGTTGAGTGAAAGTGCAAAAAATTTAATATGTTGTAAAAGTAAATGAACACATAGTATATTATGGTTTCTCTTTTCAAACAAGAGTACTCAAGTCCCCTCGCATCCTGTGAGAGATTTTACTATGTCAGAATGCTTGTAACAGTCAACACAAGACTCTCTTACAAAATTCTAACATAAGTAAGAAAACACCTCACTTTATATACTTTTACAATCTAAGAGAAAGAACCCTACTTCCTATTTTACGCACTTGCTATCATAACTGATAAACAAGTTTATAACAGACAAATACAAATGAAATAATTTTACGTGCATATGTGTTTTACACTTTTCAAACACTTGTAAAAATGTTCTTCCCTTTTCTTAAACAATATGATTATGTATACTTAAGTGCTCAAATGATACACTATTTTGTTACTAATATTTCATCTGAACCCTTTTAAAACATGAACCTACCAGTACTTTCCACGTCTCGCTGATTGGGCATATGTAGATGATTACTCTAAGTCATTGCCACGTGTGTGCTCAATCACCATGTTTATAGTGAATTAGACGTCCGAGTTGTTTTAAGTTTCTCTTGACTGCATTGTGTCATATGATATTAATTGGATGTCGTACGATGATCACCGTGAGACACGACTCTTGGAGGTGTTATCACTGTACTCTAAAATACTAGCATGTGAGTCTTAACTTATGTACCCCCGTCTACTTGAGCGAGTCCTACAGGAGTTTAAGTATATACAAGCTAGGGTATACCCAAAGGCCCATCCGTTGCTACTTTTGCCACTGTACTCCACAGGAATATGGCCCCTCCGTTGCTACTTTTGCCGCCCATCCGTTGCTACTTTTGCCACTGTACTCCACAGGAATGTGGCCCCTCCGTTGCTACTTTTGCCACTGTACTCCACAGGAATGTTGACGAGATTTTTGCAACGTAATTTGATCATTTGGTGTCATAGAATGCATGTTGCATGTTAGCTCCTCGTCCATGGAATACGGTATACGACTACGTTTAATAGTTTTATGATGTCACATATGCAGAAAAAGATCCTCCGAGACCAGCTCATCAAGATATCTTAGAGGAGGGCTAACAAGAGCATCCATGTTGTTAATGTGTTACCGACATGTCATTGCATTGTGACTATTGAAAGTGAGGCCATAGCTAGAGGCATGTTTAAGAAAACCACTCCTTAGATGAACACTCTACAAACCATCTTAGTAGAGGCACAACATACGTTCCAATACTAACAACAAACGAGGATAAGAGGAACAAATACATTAGATATTCACAAACGAGGATAAGAGGAACAAATAGGAACAAATACATTAGATATTCACAGAACTGAGATTTTAGTTAATATATTTTAACATTTTGTATTATAGTTTGTACGTAGATTAATTATGACACTTTGACATTTATATATGCACAATAGTTCTCTATTTTGATCTTATTAGAGTTACAAATGTGTATGATTTCCTGTAGGATTAATTTATAAATGACTCATAATCTAAGATTTATTAAAAAATGACAATTCTTCTAACTTACTGCCAAAAGGTGTAATATACTATCATGAGATTTGAATCAGGACCTGTGATCCAGCACAGATTGAAATTCAGACCTATTATTGACAAAAATTGGGTGTCTCAGTCATTCGATATAAAATGAAGGCCTTCGGATTTTGAAATCCAAAAGAGAATTTTGGAATTTCCATAAGATGAGTGATCACTACATGAAGTGTAGTGCGTACCACAGTTGTTTTGTAATAGATGTTTTGAACTTAATACACAACAATCCAAAAGAGGATTTTAGAATTTCCATAACATATGTTATCACTACAGTAGGTGGATGGATTGCGTACCACCATTGTTTTGAAATAGATGTTTTGGACTCAATGCACAACAATCAAAGCCGCATAAAGAGAGATCGCATGCGTCCTTGTAGCTTGGCTGTCAATGCGGCCAAGTAACTTTAACATGTGAATTGTTTTTGCAAAACTTCCAAATAAAAGAGATGAATCCAAAACAATTAAGTTAAACCTGTTTGCCTGAAGTAATAAAATCCAAAAGTTTTATGTAAAATTTTTTTGAAAAAAACTATAACTGACACTACACAGAATTAATGGCTTCAAGTTGCCTTCTTAGTTCATCAAGGTCATCATTGTCATTGATTGGAGCTTCAGGAGTAACTGGGTTCTGAAATTCGTCCGCAGTTGGGAGTTCATGAGTGAGACCTTCAGGAAGGGCATCTGTAATATATATGGGGACATGAGGTTACTAGTTTAAAAACTAATTGCGCATGAATAATAGAATTAAAAGAAACTAGAACTCTTCAACAATAAAGGTAAATGTTTCTTTAACCAAGAAAGACACACAAGACACGTGAATTGGCAAAATGAATAACTGCTGGTAATGTTTGCTTTTGCAATGAAAACGCTATGCAAAAGAAAGATTTCCATAAAGGAGCTAGAGGAAAGAACAGTGTAGCTCAAAAGAAAGAAATAACCCAACATCAGGAACTTTACTTGTATTAAAGGGCAAACCCATTAAGCTTATCATTAGGAGACTTAAGAATATAATAAAGTAAATACCTGAACTTTTGGTATTGGTACCATCTGGCTCACAATCATCAACCACACTGAAAATTTTAACAAAGTCATGAGTAAATGTGTAGGCTAAAATTGCAAGACAACAAAACTACTATTTGATATTAGATGTACACCAGATTAATGATTATATTCATTACATCTATGTAGCAGATCGCATAGCTCTTGCGTAAACAAAAAGACGTATATGAAAGGTATAAAAGATCATTAAGCACCTTATATTCCATTCGTTATCATCGTGCATTGGACCTTCTTCAATTGAGGGTCCTTCGGCCTCTAATTTTGCTTTTGCTGCAGCATCTCTTGCCGGCTTTGCAAGAATGTACTCTCCCTACATAACATTAATAGTTCAAAAAAATAGTAATAACCACACTGGATAATGCACGACTTTAATCATAAAATCAAATGCTTGCAACGTGGGCTTGACTAAAGTCCTTACCTGTCGTTTTAAGCAAGCTGCATTTGAACATTGAGGGTTTGGCTTCATTTGCATAGTTGGGAAAAAATCCTTAAGAGAGTTATATCCCTGCATACAAGAAAACAGAAACAGGATGTTATCATAAGCCTATTTCTATTCTCAATCTTTAAAACAAAAAGAAAAGGAATAATTTGCATCGTTCAACAAAAAAAGAAAATAAATGGGATGTTTTAGTTCTAGTGCAGTACTTACCAAATAAGGAGAGACTTGGCCAAAACCTAACAAGAATTTTAGTGTGTTCTGGACAAGAAGCCCAGCAATAACCCCCTGGAAAGTCAAACAAAATTTTCCAAGTCCAATTAATATTAACCATAAAAGTGTACTTATCTTCTCAACATTAAAAGAGACATTAAATAAGCCACTAAAAATCATAAATGCCATGTCATGCGAGTGTTTATTTTAACAGTTTTGTTCTTTTACATGCACATAAGCTACCCATTCAAGTATTATAGGATTAATAGCTTCAGATTTATATTAAATTTTAATCATAAAAGGATATAGTACTGTAGTTCACCATGGTGGTTGGTAAAGATGCAGCACAAACCCCTTCACGCTTGAGTGTACGCTCATCAATCCCAGATGCTACAACCTACGAGGAAAAACATAATTATCTCCCATTGTCTGTAAGATGGATTTAGTAATATGCATGAATATATTTGGTTATGTAGTCTGCTATTAGAAAATTTACAATAATATAGTCCACATTTGGATGGAGTTCTGAAACTTGACAATATATCACTAGGTTAATTACATTCAATCCTTTGAGGCATTACATCGATAATTGTGATTCATACCCAATTTCAAATGAAAACAGACTTACAAGAGGAGGAGCGCAAGCAAAACAGGCAGTTTCGCCAGGAATAAGCAACTGAATATGACCAGAAACAGCATCCTCAGAAACACCTGCTTGAATTTTTATCTACATGAGTTTCTTCATAAGTATACTTTCATAGAGACATGTATACCTAACACGAAGAATTGGCAATGCATCTAGCAGAATGCAATAGCACAATTCTCTTTGTATTTGATAAGTAATGCATGCACCTTGAGATAGTAGCGAACACCCAAAAAATATATAGAAAATAAATGTTTTCAGCTAAATGTTCACAGATGTATCCACTTGTCAAGGTCAGGATACATTCAATGAGGAAGAAAACATCTGTCAATTACAACTTCATTTACATTGTGAAATGCCTTAAAGAACCAAGTCTATTCTAGTTTACAGAGTAAATTAAATCACTTATTATTTTTACATTACTTTTCTGCACACATCATTATGGATGGTTGAGAGCCAATATTAAGCATTTTATCTTTATTAAGATCCAAATATCCAAGAGTTTTATCACTTACAAGAAAAGAATGCTTACCCGACTCCAACCATGTCTGGCTCAGTTCATTACAAGCCTGCAGTATGTATAGGAAGTTGGTTACCTACAGCAGTCTCTTAGCAGAACTAAAAAGATGAGAACTGAAAACTTAAATTATGTAAAATAATAAATACCTGGTTAACAGCCATTCTTGCTTCATAATTATCTACACAGCTTAAGACAAGATCCACGCCGTTACCTTGTTTATCAGGAGAAAATGACTTATTTTTCAAAGAAGACATAAAGGTTTCAAAACCATCAACTGTCGTGATATTCAGTGTATAGCTCTAAATGAAAAGAAAATGGGAATGTATCAGCACGGAAAACAATACATGATTCATCTGAGTAACATGATATTGAATGAGTGATAGAGGACACAAATATTAAAATAACACTTACCTCAAGCACAACATCAGGGTTTATATCTGAAAGTGTTTGTACAGCTGCATCTGTCTTTGTCATACCAGCCTGAAAAGCCAAAAAAATCACTTAACTTCTGGAAGCTTTTATATGTGAAATATATAATATAATATAATGCGGTCAGCACATAAGTCTAGATCAAAATTTTAAATTGTAACTTTGTGTGCAAATAATGAATAGAAAATTTGTGTGAATAATTACTTATAGGACTTCTCCTTGAATGAATTCAAAAGACGACATGTTTGGAAATAATAAATGTATACAACAACCACCGTGATGGTCTTCTTCGCCTATTAGGTAAGATTTGTTATATAGATTAAACACTGTTATAATATCTAATCAAATTTTGAATAGGAAATAAAGAATGTATACAACTTTTTGCTTTTGTAAAACTAAAAGCACACAACAGCAAACACAAATGCCTTTGCCCATTAGGTGGATCAGTTACATAAATCAAAAGACACCATATATCCGTTCATACTTTAAAGACAAGAAAGTGAAGATTTGGGTACTCACTTGATCAGGACGAAAGAAGAGCCTATTCATGTTTGCAAGTTCCACTTTGTCATAATCATACAACAAAAGTCGACCTATGCCACATCTTGTCAGCATCTCAGCAGCTACACTTCCTACACCACCTACTCCCTGTGATTACATAAGAATTGGAAAAAGTGAGAACTTATTTATTAGCAAAATGTGAAACAAAAACCTAAAGAATTTGCAGAAATTTCTAAAATAATCAAAACTACCCGGTCTCCTAGTTTTTTTTAAACAATAATGTATTTTCCAAGTTTATGACCAAAAAGATAAATAAAGAATCTTAAACCATTCATATACTACTATGCCAAGATCATAAATAAACTCTTCATACGAATTATCTTAATATTTTGAGTATTGCGCCCCTTGCACTCAGTATTAAATCTCAGTTGGAGTGGGCATGAAATGGTTTAAGGACTATAAATCCGTGCAGAGCTGTATGCGATTATATCTCCATTATCAATTGTGGGAAGTAAACAATCAAATCTAAATGCTCTGAAGTATAAATTAAACTTAGATATCCAGCAATCATACCAACACAAGTTTGACTATCGATATTGTACTTATTTATATATATGGGACACTCCCAGATATCAAACAGTGATTCAGTTCTTGCCAATACCAACAAAGTCTTTATATCATTATCAAAAGATTGATATCACATCAATGATTAACAAATACAAATTAACAAACAAATTTTAAGGTCCACAGACCCAATGGCATATAATTCTGATTTCATTTCAATAAAAACCACCAGAAATAAATAAGATTAAGACTAATGTTGCTAATCACAAGTTGTCTCCCAGATAAATTTGAAATTTAATATTCTCCAATCCTAGAATTTACTTTCTAAGATTAAACATCAAAATAAATGAGTACTTAAGCACTATGCTTGCACCAATGTGAGCGAATAGTTTATTTACATGCACATCATATCACAGATTTTATTCTACAAAAATAAAGATACAAGAGGAGATTAGTACAGACAACTATGGCAATGGAGAAATTCCTTATCCGTTCATAATTCTCCACAATTCCCATTCTCTGAAGCGCCATAAGCCGACTGTATGGATTGCTGTCAACAACCTCAGCACTCATATCCTGCTCAACAGAGTGACAAGAATTCAATTCAGTAAGAACTTTCAACAACAGTACAAATGCATCAAATCAAAGAAACCAACACACGAATGCTTAACCAACCTTAACTTTAGAACGCCGAACAGGTTCCGCCCTAACAAGATCAGCAATATGCTCAACACGCGATTGAATCTTCAAATCAAAAGATACAAATCATCGAATCAGGTCAATTCAAGCCCATGCTAAGCAGAAATCATTATACATTACAGATTAATGTCATTATCATAAAAGAAATGATCGATTCATTCAGAAAAAATGCAAAGAATTTAGTGATCAATCATAGGACGAGACATGCAGAATTAGAAGAAGAGAAGAGATGAAATTACCTTGTGGAACGCATCACGGAGAGATGGATCTGGAAGGGATTGATTGAGAGATTGAAGATCGGCGATCAAGTGATTGAGCTCGATCTCCATCTCTCAATGTGTTTCTATGGAATTTCAGATAACTTGAATGTGAAATTGAAGTTGAAAACTGAACTGAAGGCAGCTTTTTGTTTCTTCTCCGATAATGCTAGCATATATCTTCTTCCCTCCGGTAACGTTGATTCAATCCCGGGTCGGGTTGGTTTAAACGGGCCGTTCTGGACTATATGTTAATATGGGCCGTTCTATCAGCCCAAACGTGTTGACTTGCTGTCTTATAAGGGAAATGTTATTCCCACCACCTGCTTTGACATCCACATTCACTTCTCTTATTCACTTTCTCTGTTCAAACACATTATCACCATAAGTTTTTTTTTTTCTATGAGTACTACTTCTCATCCAAAAATTTGAATGAGTTTAACAACGTGAAAATGGTGGAGGGAAAAAGGTGAAAATTCTTGACGGTTTTTTTATTAAAAAAAATCATAATTTGTTAACTAAAAGTTTTATTTAGATTTGTCATGCATCAATATAGACTTATAGTCACGTTAATATCACAATAGGCATGAGGTTTTTTTCTTCTAACTATGAGGGCATTTTTTAATATAAAGTTAAATGGAATTTCAAAAAATAGTAACATCTCACATGTTTTTAGCCTCAAAGGACTGACCTTAATCAATACAACGTAAATACATCATTAATCGTCGATTAAGAAAGTTTATAAATCTAAATTTATAATAGATTTAATAGCAAAATTCAAAACCACAATATTTGAGGTGTTTATCTTCACGTATCATAATACACAACATGATAATTCACCTTCAAATTCATCCTTACAAAACTTATTTACCCCTATTAATTCGGTATTTAGAAGCACATGTGTGCTCCCACTGTTTCAATCTATATGCAAGACTTTTAAATAAGATAGTTTTCACAATTTCTCTCAAAGTCTCTTATAATAACAACAAGTTCATATTTTTCCATTGATGATCTTTGAGATTGCCTCAATGAAAATAACAATTGTATGAAGTCTCACTCTTATGTATAATTACACAATCAATTTACTACCTTTTTTTACTTGTTAGTACATTATCTTACTTTGTGACCAAGGTGTGTGTGGTAGATACACATTCCTATATCAAGAGAAATAACAATATGAATAGCATGCAAGGAGATTACAACAGTACAATTAGTGGCATAAAGACATCACAAACCACAAGTGATCCATCTTGTAAGTTCACCTAGGAACATGACCTAATTTGAATTTTAAAAAAAAACTTATACAATTAAATAACTTAAAAGGGTGTATCATGTAATTTAATTTAGACTAAAAAAAAATGACATTCATTCAAACTAATAAAATACATCGATTGAGAATATAAATTTCTTCAAAAATAAAAAGGATGCATATGTGAACAAAATAATAACACTAATGTTAATAGTATGAATGAAGGCAAAATACATACATAATTAACAATGATTATAAATATGACAAATTGAAGTGTCTAAAATACCCTTTCCTCTTAAGATGCAATGTTGATAATGTCAGAGTAATTGATTGAATATGCATTGAATTTGAATAAAAGATAGTCTATTAATTTGAATCAAACGAACACCATAACAAGAGAGGAAGTGAGATATATCCACACAAAAATAGTACAAAATAGAAAATTCATATAAACAATACAACAACAAAAAAACGTGAAATCCACTTATTTAAATGAAAAATAAAACGATCAAGATCAAGAGGGTGATTCTAGATCAAAATTGACCTTAAACCACCACTTCGAGTAGATGAAGAAGAAGTAAAAGTGGGAATATGATGAGCCGAGTTAGGCTTTGTGTAACACCTTATCAACCCTAACGCGAAATAATATGAATTAAAACAACTATACACATAAGGTGTCACTCAAGCACAACATAAACCTGCTCCGTAACACGAGTTAAATAAAACATGTAATAATTTAAATATTTGTCATCACATACTCGTCTTTACATAGGCTCATCGCAACAGAAAATAATTCAATTAAAGTAACTCAATATGCATAACATAACAAGTACAAGTCTAATACTCACATTAACAACACTAAAATAATAATAAGTAAAGAAATCTAACGTTCTCCCGCCTAGTGTTACAGACCAGAGCAGCATAATTTAAATATCGCATAAAGTAGGAAAAATAAGAACAACCTCAACATCATCCTTAAGCTTCTAAGCAAATACTCATTTATCTGCTCGTCTGTACTCCTAAGAAGGAGCACAGAACCACTCAGACAACAAAGGGGTGAGAATACGCTTAAAATATTTAATGGTGCAAAAGTATGCAAAGGTAGTCTAAACAAACATCAACAATCACATGTCACATTCACAACATTGCTACACAACTCAATCACATTAACCACATATGTATTCTCAATCACCAATATTAACATAATCATTCAATACATATGCAAACAATGGATGCAATGTACTCAACACCATGACTCTACATGCATGTGATACCATTATAGACAACACGTGTTCATATCATTCTTGAATTCTCATCTTAGAACCAGAGCACACCAATTCGCTACTAACACCTTTAGTAACGCTTCACCGATTTCCATCTGGAACCAGCTAATCGCTCTTGAATCCACACTATCAGACCAAAGCACACTAAAACTAGACCGAAGTTTGTACACCATAATGCATGTTCCTCAACAACATGCAATATCACCAAAAATATCACCATATAATAACCATAATTATGCATAACATCACAACAATTGATTAATTCTACAATCAATAACATACAACACTAAAATGCCTCAAAATAGTAGCCAAACAGTTGCATAAATAAAGTACAACTTCAAAAATTGGAACCGGTAACTTAATTCCACGTAACTGAGCAAGTGAAGCTCCTTCTGGCAGCATGACAGGTTGCCCGTCACCAAGGTGACGCCTGTCAACCGCCCACTGCATCTCACATGTCATCACCATGACGCTCGTCCCACAAAATTGTGCTTGAAGACCATAATGGGTTACCCGTCAGTACTTCAAAGGTCATGACGTCTTGGTCGTCACAAGGGTGGCACAGTCACCCTGAAGCAGAAAACAAAATCTGCATTTTTTGGCCATGGAGTTCAATTATTAACTCTGATTTTTCATCCCATCCCTCAAATCGAACAACATAATGGAAAATAATATTTAACATCAATACATCATCTATCTATCAAATTACATGTATTTTCTTCGATTAATCATGATTTGTACATGCTTTATCCAACAAAATCATAACACACATATAAACACCAATTCATACCAACTTTATTAACAAGAACACACAATTTTCATGGTAAGATAATACACGAATTTCACATAATACATCATATAATTCACGCTTTCACATAATTAAATCATATTTATCAATCTGTCATCAAAATGGAAAAAATTACGAAAAAAACCTAATGAGATTAAGAACCCCCCTCTACCCAATCATGCATCAACTCCATATTTGGAGTAATCCCCCTACCTTAGATTGCTTGAAAAATTCAGATTGCTCAAGACTGCTATTCCCTCTTCAAGCCATAGCCTTGCCCCTTTTCTCCCAAAATCTATTTTCACTTAATGTTTTTCTCCAAACTCTACTAACCACTATTTATCCCTAACCTACTTATTTCAACTCTTAAAAATCACACTAAGGCCCAACTTATGTTACAACTTGATCTGACCTGATCAGAAGGGGATCACGGGCCAGCCACACTCTATTGGACTGCTACGTGCTCACCGGTGCTGAGGGGAAAGAAGGGGGGTATACCTGCAAAACACTCCGATGCCAAAGTAAGGAATTGGGCAGAGCGAGAGCAAAGTATAGAAATTGGGCAAGAAGTGAATTACCTGACCCTCTTGAGGAAGAGGGTATTTATAGAGAGACCCCAGCGCTGGGCCAACGGTCATTTGAGATGGGCTGGATGACCAGACCCAACCCTAATGACTGCTAGGGCTTACGTGGCGTAGTGAAGACCAGGACATGGTCTTCGCCCTAGTCCAACTGCTCCTAGATCTCCGGAAAGTGGGTTTGACTTGCTCTTTCGGAGGTGGGCAGTTGGTTGATAACGTGTCCCCGCGGAGGGGAGCACGTGGAGAACGTGCGCCGGGCACGTCGTTCTCCCCGGAGGCAAGTTGTTCTCCCCGCTGAGGGGGGGAACCAAGGTCGTGCTTTGATGCACCGGGGTGTGTTCTGTTCGGCTGATAAGAGAGGACGACGAGATGCTGTTGGACGCGCTACTTGTGTCCGGTGGCGTGCTCTGCTCGTCTTGCGGGACGCACGTGCCCGGCGTGCCCGATTCGCTCGTTGGACTGTACGTGGTATTGCGCCTCACGAGGTCGGGCCCAGACCGGAACAGGAGCCCCCCAAGTCGAAGCTCTGAGGAGAGAGCGAGGACTTAAGGTCGCTGTGTCGAGGAGAGAGGTAGCGGAACGGGAGGTTCGTCGGGATTCGTGTGTGGCGGAACGGGCGCTCGCGCTGGGATTCCTGGTCATCGGTGGAGCGGGATGAAAGCAGGTGAAGGGGCGCGACTGTCAGGTTGCTGCCACATGTCGTGCGTTAAGCGGTCGTAGGGGCGGCTACCCTATGTCATTAATGAGCCTAGCGTCGCTTCGAATCCCGCACCGGGTTATAAATACGGGGGTCCCCGCTCATTTTGTCACTTTTCGCTCTGCTATTTTACCTGCGAAGCTCTGATATCTTTGCCCGTCCGCCGTTTGCCGCCGATCGCCGCCGCACCGTTTGGTCCTTCCCTCTGTTCGCCGTCGTTACAAGTGAGTTCTCCTTTCTCTTCCCTTTTATTTCCGCGGTTTGATTAGAATGCGTGGTCGGGGCATGATGAATACCCCGAGGAGGGACGCAAGATCCGCCGTATTTGGCGATTTTTCTGGTGAATGTCCCAGGGAGAATCGGTTGTTCCGATGAATGTCCCGAGGACGGGGGCTTTCTCCGATGAATGCCCCGGGGACGGGTGCTTTGTCCGACGAATGCCCCGGGAATGCGTGCTTTTTCCGGTGACCGTCCC